CGGAAGGGTTAAAGGGCTTTTTTGTGCCCTATCCTGGCAGGACACCCTGGGGAACCCCCAAGGTGTACAAGACCCACCTGCCTACTCACAAAGACCCAATGGTGTGGGAGTTTGCAGCCATTCCTTTTCCCTACTGAGGCCTGCCCACACCTACTCCATTCTTGTCAAACCGCAGGGGGTAGCAAACAAGTTCCTTGTGAGAAAAATAGACAGCATGGGAGAAAAATGACAACTTGTATTCGTCTGACAGAGAAGCACTGGAACTAAATACAAGACTCTCATTTCCTTAAAGGAGTATGATCTTTCCCATTTTTCTTTTCTTTTCTTTTTTTGAGATGGAGTTTCGCTCTTGTTCCCCAGGCTAGAGTGCAATGGCGCAATCTCGGCTCACTGCAACCTCCGCTCCCTGAGTTCAAGTGATTCTCCAGCCTCAGCCTCCCAAGTGGCATACGCCACCACGCCAGGCTAATTTTGTATTTTTAGTAGAGATGGGGTTTCTCCATGTTGGTTAGGCTGGTCTCGAACTCCCGACCTCAGGTGATCCCCACACCTCGGCCTCCCAAAGTGTCTTTCCCATTTTTTTTGCAACAAGAGCCTCTCAACCTATGTTTTGTTATTCCATTTGGGGTAGAAACACACACATAGAAAGATTTCTTACCATAAAAAAAAAAAAAAGTACAATCTCAGGGCTGGGGACTACTTTAGGGATTGCTGGGGGCTGAGGGGACTGGTATGTACTACACTTCCTTAAAGAGGCAGCTGCTCTAGTATTGCCTTTGGGAATCGTTAGGGCAGAATATTTGAAATTTCCCAATTTTCAACACTGACTCTGTTTTTTTTAAGCTCTATGCTGGCCCAACAGAACATGTGTTGGTCAGATGTGACCCATGCCCCCCGCCTGTCACCAGGACAGTAGGGTGTGGTAAGAAGACAGTTTGCCTAGACTACCCAATTCTTGGGCATGTTGCTCTGCTTCCTGCTAAAGGTAGTGTGAAACTGCCAGAAATAATGCAGACTGTCAAATCTGACGGAGCTGAGTTTGCATCTTAGCTCTACTTTTACTAGCTACAAGACCTCAGGCAAAAACTATTAACCTCTAGCCTCAACTTCCATTTGCAAAATGGACTGATAATACCCAACCTAGAGACATTTGTCAGAATTAAAAATGTGTGGCCCGGGCATGGTGGCTCATACCTGTAATCCCAGCACTTTGGGAGACTGAGGTGGGTGGATCACCTGAGGTCAAGACTTCGAGACCAGCCTGGCCAACATGGTGAAACCTCGTCTCTACTAACGATACAAAAATTAGCCAGGCATGGTGGCTGGCACCTGTAATCCCAGCTACCCGGGAGGCTGATGCAGGAGAATTGCTTGAACCCAGGAGGTGGAGGTGGCAGTAAGCCGAGATCACACCATTGCACTCCAGCCTGGGCAACAGAGCGAAAACTCTGTCTCAAAACAAAACAAAAAACAAAAACCTGTGTGAAGACTACCATGAATTCTTTTTTTTTTTTTTTTTTTTTTTAAGAGACAGAGTCTTGCCCTGTTGTCCAGGCTGGCGTGCAATGGTGCAAACATAGCTTATTACAGCCTGGAACTGCTGGGCTCAAGCCATCCTCCCACCTCAGCCACCACACTGGCCAATTTTATTATTATTATTATTTTTTTTTTTTTGTAGAGATGGGGGTCTCACTATGTTGCCCAGGCTGGTCTTGAACTCTTGGCCACAAGCAAACCTTCCTCCCCTCAGCCTCCCAAAGAGCTGGGATTACAGGTGTGGGCCACCACACCCAGCCCATGAACTCTTTTTTTTAGCCAGTGAACTCTTGATCAACGTTAAATTTCCTTCCCTATCTCCCTAAAGAAGTGATTTAAAGCAATCTTCTTTAGATTTCTTTTTCGAGGCAATATCTTGCTCTGTCACCCAGGCTGGAGTACAGTGGTGTGATCACGGCTCACTGCAGCCTCGACCTCCCAGACTCACACAATCCTCCCACCTCAGCCTCCTGAGTAACTGGGACTACAGGCGTGTACCACCATACCTGGCTAATTTTTATTTATTTATTTTTATTTTGTGGAGTAAAGGTCTCACTATGTTGCCCAGGCCGACTTCCTTATATTTCAATGTTCCCATCTGTTAAAAACCAAAATTACCCTCTATCACCATTGCTCCGCCTTACAGGATGGGACGAGGTGCTGTACATGAAAGCTAAGTGCTTATGAATCTAGAAGAATACTGTTGACTAGATTGCCAACACCCTTTCCTATCATTTCTAGCCCAACAGGGGAGCAATTTGCTTTTCTAATGCATTTATATCCTTAATAATGCGAATCAGGGCGAAATAGTGTCACATTTGTGGTAAGTCCTTAAAATAGCTATTAGCAATCAACTCTCCAGAGTCCAAATCTACCACCCTCCTACAGAGGAGAGTAAACATTAGTTTGGTCACTAAAGGGCCTGGCAAGTTTCTTTTCTCTTTCCATGCTCTTTTAGGGAACTAGAGAGGAAACTGAGGTATAAAATGAAGTTACATGACAGTTGTACACTTCTTTTATTCATACCAAGAAAACAGAGCCACAAACCAAACAATTTCACTTCATTTAAGTACCATGATTAATTCACTGTGGTATTTCCCCCTACTATAAGGGGATTTTTGTTGGTTGTCTCATTATTTTCCCATCACAGCAGTGAAATTAGGACATGCTTCAGCATTCCTCAACTGAATCTTAAAACATCTTTACATCCTTTAGATTAGTGAATCTACAGGAGCAAGGTCTAGGCTGAGGAGATTCACTGAACACTTCAACTTTTAACTGTCCCGGATCTCATCTCTTTGACTTGTTTTATCCTTAAATCCAAAGGCATTACATTCAGTTATACTGAAGCTACTAAAAAATGTGGATTTGCCTTTCGGGAATATACCTCCCCTTCCTCCCTCTATTAACTTCAACAGCTCCCTCTCAGAATCACCGCTTTTCCAAATTACTGACCAAGCATGACAGAATGAGTAGGAATTATAGGCTAAATCTGGAGGAAAAAAATTTAGAGCAAGCCTGATGAAGATATAGCTGTTACTCCTTCCTTACCCTCCTACAAGCATGGTTCTTGAAAAAAATGTGTTAAACGCCATGCAGAACTTTTAGGAGTCAGTGCTTTGCTAAATATTTACACGTCATGATCCCTAAAGCAAACAAGGTAACGATGAAACAGGCAACACAACACAGCAACAAGCAGCCCTCCACTCATTTTGTGCTTTGTTTTTATCATGTACACTTTTTATTGATGCATACAGTGCTTCCAGAAGTGTACAGAAATCCTAAGTGTAAACAGACATGTGTGTTCACTACTCTGAACTCTGTTTTTTGATGAGCATAACTTGAAAGGAATTGGGCAAATAAGCAAAAACGCCAAAAAAACTTAAAAAAACCGCCCCAACGGAAGGCAATCAACCCCCAGGCTTGCTAATGCCCTTTGTATAAAAAAAGCTGACCTAGCCTCCACCTGCATCAACTTGATCCGCTCAGCTTTGTCACACTCAGCAAACACCCTCTGCCTTCTGAGCAAAATAAATCAGCACCTCCAGTAGGGAGAAAAAAACTTTTTATGACCGAGTCTGGAGAAGCAGCCTTGACACCCAATTTACAAAAAACGAGGGACTGTGGAAGACCTCGCATCTAAACTCAGCTGCAGTGCCAAACCTACCTTATGCAAAAAAGCTCCACAGGTGGTGGTGTTCTGTTTAAAGGAAAATGCCAAACACACACAAATACTGAAATAGTGTAAGGACTTCCATAACCATCATCCAGCTTCAACTATTTTTATTTCTGTTTTACTTTAAGTTCTGGGATACATGTGCTGAACGTGCAGGTTTGTTAATAGGTATACACATATACATGTGCCATGGGGGTTTGCTGCACCTATCAACCCGTCATCTAGGTTTTAAGCCCTACATGCATTAGGTATTTGTCCTAATACTCTCCTCTCCTTTGCCCCCATCCTCCAACAGGCCGCCCCGGCCGCATGATGTTCCCCTCCCTGTGTCCACGTGTTCTCTCCAGCTTCAACTATTAACAATCCATGAACAATCTCCTCTCATCTTGTTCTCCTCACTTCTCTGCTAGCATCTAAAACTGAATAATTCTGAAGCAAATCCTAAAGTAGTATTTCAACTTCACTGTGTGTCTCTACAGGGATTTTTAAAACCTTAGTCATGATACCATTACCAAAAGTAACTAAACAGAACTATTATAATTTCCTTGATACTATCAAATAATCAGTAGAAATTTCCTTCATTGTCTCCTTATTTATTTATTTATTTATTTATTTATTTTGAGACGGAGTCTAGCTCTGCCTCCCAGGCTGGAGTGCAGTGGCACGATCTCGGCTTACTGCAATCTCTGCCTTCGGCGTTGAAGTGATTCTCCTACCTCAGCCTTCCCGAGTAGCTGGGATTACAGGCGCGTGCCACCACGCCCTGCTAATTTTTGTATTTTTAGTAGAGAAGGGTTTCACCATGTTGGCCAGGCTGGTCTCGAACTCCTGACCTCAGATGATCCACCCACCTGGGCCTCCCAAAGTGCTGGGATTACAGGTGTGAGCCACCGCACTCAGCCATCATCTTCATTTTAAAAAACATTCATCAAATCAGGATCCAACCAACGTCCGCACCTTGTATTGCCACCGAATGTCTCTTAAATCATTCTGAAATTGCACACAGGTCCTCCTCCCTGTAATTCTCATACCAGCCAGGCTGATTCCCACTGATAATTTCCAAATAACTATAATAACTCTGTTCTGGAGATATCACAAGTAAGTGCCGGTCTTAGAGCTTGTCAAATGTATACATATATGTTTATATTTATATATAAATGCACAAAGTACACACGAAACCATTTCACTCGAAGCAATAACAATACTGAGAGCTAAACACTCGTTCATATGTCTTGCTATGCTTCTCGACGGGGGTTCTCTCTGGGATTTAAGCAACACTTCCCCTTACCGGAGACATTTGCGCAAGTGTAGGACGAAGCCAGAGCGGTTCCTCCCAGCCGAACCTGCCTCCGGAGGTCGGGTAAGTGCGTTCGCCTCCGGACTGCAGGGGGCGGCCCTGCCACCACCTCGAGGCCACCTGCGCAGATGAGAAAA